GGGAGTATATTATAAATAATTTAGTCACTATGGGGGCTGATGAGGCAGCAAACTGCAACGTCGAAGAAGGCGACCTAGGCGAGGACAAGGTCTTGGGGGAATTGCGGTCGCAGATGTCGCTCCGCGACTGGGCCACTACGAGGATGTGGTGGCCCTGGTGGAGAAGCTCCCGAACCGTGGTCTCCGAGGTTCGCAATGTGCGGAAGGCTACACCACCAGCGCAAGCACGGGTGGTGAAGCCGTGGAGGAGGCGAGGAGCGGGCCCCGATTGTGGCGTCGAGTGGCTTCATATTATTACTAATGATTTCTATCCGGTTCACAAACATGCGTTGCACACTGTGAGGTTTAGCTAATCCGGTAGTCACTTAGGTTATAGAGACTAGATCGAGCGTGCGAACTAGCAGTAAAAAAATAAGTGCCAAATTGTCTCATCTCTATGATAAAAGCAACATATTTTGGGCGCGTTTGGTTTCTTGGACCGTTACTGTGCTACCTTACCGAGCGAGATTTTCTAAGTGAGTCTGCCGTTTGTTTTTCTTGCTTGCTTGTCTCGGGGTTTGTGCTAGCAAGATTTCTGGGAGAGGCAAAACGGCTCACCGGCCTGGGTGAGCTTCTCGTTTTCTACACTGGCAGGGCGAGGTGAGGTCAGGCGTGTTGGCTGTGGGAACCAAACACGTCCTTTATCGTCGTGCCAATTCCGCTTCTCTAGGTTATCCTTTGTCAAAATAACCTGTCTATGAGAAAGATCTCGACTTTTAAAGGGGCCTTAAGTTTTCACAAGTGCTTGTTAATAACATTAGGGACATCCAAAAATTGATTACAGTTGAAATTTCACCGAGAATAGATCATTTGGGGTGTAAATCCCAGTAAATACATCTTGTTCTTGGGTTAATTGGAGATTAGCAACACGCGGAAGCATAAAATAGCTACATGTCTCGAAACATGAAAAGAAGGTGTGGACCATATGACACGTCATCACTATCAAATGCTCACTCGGATAAAACCGAACAGTAAATATATTCCAACATTTCACAATTTTCCCTGCATCTTGCATTTTGCATGTAATCCAAACATTAAAAGAAGGTGGATCATATATAACTTCGACATTTTGCTGATTCTACACTCCTGCCTATCGCTATCAGGTCGCGTGCGTGTACGTGATAAGATAATGCCAAGCTAAGCACGCACGTCGTAAACTGTTTCTCTGATGCCCTCGCAAAAAAAAAAAGTTTCTCTGATGCGCCGCACTACTTGCATGCTAATAAAATAGTACAGTGCAGTACAGTACAGCCATAATGAGATGAGTGTTATGAACGACGTATATGAATATGAAGTAAAGAATCAAGCCACAGAGGAGACACACGATTTAACGTGGAAAATCCCTCCAATGTGAAGAGGAAAAACCACGGACATCAGCCAGCAACAATCTCACTATCTCAAGAGTTTTGGGTTACACGCCTATGGCGGCTTACAAGAGAATCAAGTCTCCACGAAATCCTAGCAAGGGTGTATATACCGTACTGTACCGCGGGGGGCTCCGCCCCCGCACCCCCCAAGCCTCCGGCGACGGGCCTCCGCTCCGCTCCGTCAGAAGCCCGGCCTATATCCTGGAGTGAATTTGGAACAACTCTAACAATAAGAGCCCGTTGAGCTATGATATTATTATTATTATCATGATCCTGATTGCCAGCGGCAGCGATTCAATTATGCTCACAAAAGTCTTCGAGATGAGGAGCAAGCGTATGTGATCATGCATCCAGAGGTCCATGGCCCTGTTCGCAAGGCTCCGTTCATTTGCTTTATAATCTGTACTTTTCAATTTATTTTTTTTGTTGAAACAGTATTTTTTGTTATAATAAATTAGCTAGAACGGTATTTTGGTTTTTTTTTCCAGAAAAGCGAATGGCGCCCATGTGAGCTGTCAGCTAGCCACTCGGATCTGCCACTGGCGTCTTGCGTGCAGGCAGCTTCCTCATGTGATGAATCCTGATTGATCCGGTGGCATTCCGATCCCGTGGCTAGGGATATCGTCGTCTCTCCAGGATTTGCTCTAGAGAACGGGAACCTTAGGCTGCGGCTGCGGATCACTGCAGTTCTCGTGCTCGATTTGCCGTCTGACGTGTTCCGGGCGTTCTTAAGCTTATCTGCCAACCAAGAGGATACGTTTTTGTATGGTCAGATCCGTCTAGCGTTTTTCCATCTTTTTGACAAAACGGACGCTCTGACAAGCAGGAATGCAGGATCCAGGTCGGGGCAGAGAGAACGTACGGGCGTGCGATGAGCAGCATGTGTTCGAGACGTCGTAAACGATCGTGCATTATTTACTGCTGGCTGATTTGGTGTGAGAGAAAAATACTATTCTGGCTAAAAATTTACGATCGTTTACGAGCAAACGAACAGGCTGGAGATGCGAGGGTGGACCAGCAGTTTTGACCTGGCGCCCTGGTCCGGTGGACCAGCAGTTTTGACCTGGCGCCCTGGTCCGGTGGTGGTCCGGGAGGTGGGAGAAGAGAAAGAACCCAATGTTCAAAAAAAAGAGAGAACCTGAGCAACTCTGCCAAGTCAACCAGGCAACACTTCCTGATGCCGATGCGTGCATGTGGAGTCTGCTGGCGCGGTGGGTGGCCAATTTGGCCATGCACGGAGATGCATCACAGCATAAGCATCCATGCTCAATTTTTTACAATTTAGTCTTTTAAAAAAAATATATGTTTGACCCTCTAAAAAACGTAAACTCATTTTTGAACCCTAAAGGTCGGCGCCAGGACTCATGGTGCCGAGGTGACACGTCTCGACGCCACAGATCTTGGCTCCGAGGTACCTGGTCGTGCACAGCAGGGCATCCTAGGTGGCATTGACGTGACCGGTACCTCGACACCACAATACATGGCTCCGAGGTCGGCGCCACAGATCTTAGCGCCAATCACGAAGCCGTTAGATGATGTCTGCTCTGTCTTGAAAAAACAAAAACGTCTGGAACGCCACTTCGTTGTACGCTCTGTTCCCTTGACAATTCTGTTTGGTTTTATTTAAACGAGGAGCATTCCGATACCACCTCATACTTGTACCAGTAGTGGACATAATAAAATATCTGTACATAATATAAATTTACCAATAAATCTGATGTATGAAGTGCATAAAGTTAGATCTAATATAGTAAATGGTTGAACAAAAAACTAGGCAAAATCTACAGCATGTTCGTTTGGCTATGGTTTATCGTAAATAATCGTAAATTTCTAGCTAAAACAATATTTTTCTCTCACACAAACCAGCCAGCAGTACTTCTTCATGAACTAGCAACAAAACGTACCAGCCAACCGAGCAGGCTGCTAAATGTCAACCGGTTGTTTTGTTGGCTTGGGACACACGATTTTTCAGTCGTCCGATGATCATTGGCTGTCTGTCGTTGTGCGTTGGATCGTGAGGCCCATCTGGTTCGTTGTTTTGTTTTGTGTTTCGCTGGCAAGTGGGGACCGGAGCTCAGTTATGTGTCAGAGCTAAACTGCTGAAGCAAGCCATCTCGATGAGGGCAGGTACACGAGCTTGTGGTTTGTGAGATTTCGTGCCAGATGTTGGAGCAAGAGAAAGTTTGTGACGTGACAAGTCCAAACTATTCAGTATTCACTATGCCTGCTACAGGGCAGACTAGCAGGCACCTGCCGTCCGTCCGTGTTAGTGGGGAGGAGAGAAGAGCGGTGTGCGGTGGGTTGGTCTGCTACCGCTTGCTGGTCTCGTTACCTCTATCGTAGCACATTATTTTTGAGGTTGATGCTAAGATCTGTGGCGTCGACCTCAGAGCCATGTATTCTGGTGTCGAGTTACCGGCTACGTCCATGTCACCTAGAATGCCCTACTGTCCACGGTCAGGCACCTTGGAGCCAAGATCTGTGGCGCCGATACGTGTTACCTCGACGCCATGAGTCTTGACGTCGATCCATAGAGTCCAAAGATGAGTTTACGTCTCCCGAGGACCCAACGTAAAATTTCTTAAAAAAAAGTCAAATTATAAAAAATTGGGGCATCAATTCATGCTACTACTCCCCTGCAGCCGGCCGGCCGGCCCAACTGCCCAAGTGCCGTGCGTGCGCTCAGCTCACTCACTGCGTCGAGATCGGAACCGTGCAACTTCACAGCGACAAGCCGACAGCGTTTCACTTCACCACGGCGACAACAAGGAACCATGAGTCAGAAAGCAAGCATCCAAGTGCAGATGGCGTCAGTTGTGACGCTGCCGAACGGAAGCCCATGCCAGGACAGTGGAAAAGCGGAGGTGATGCCGACGGTCCTGTCTCCAGCCTCCAGCACGCGCGCGCCTGACGTGGATGTGGATCGGTGGATCCAAGCAAAGCGACGGCCTTAGCAAAGTGAGCTCCTAGTCGTGTCGGGAATGGCCGTGCACGCGAGGGGTTATGGTAGATGGTAGTACAGTACTTGTGTTATGCCAGCACATCGCGCCGGCGTCGCGCGGCGGAATTACCGGCCGTGTCTTTCTCGCCGGCGTCGCTCTCCGTTTCCCGTGCGTCCTCCGGTCCTCCCGCGGCGGGCCACGCTGGCTAGAGCCCACCTGCCCGCATTATCGTCCAGATACGACGACACCTCGCTCCCGCCACGCCGTGGGGCCCAGATTCACGCACACCTCCCTGTCCTCATGCTCCTCCTCCGCACGCATCGCGGCGCGCAGTCAACGGACGCCGTGCCTCCACGCCCCCGCCGGGACGCTATAATTCGGCCTGCCTGCCTGCGCCTGCTCGCCTCGCCAGAAACTGCAGCCACACCAAGCCGTTAGCCGTCTTCTCCGTCATCTCCTCTTGTCCCACGCGGGTGGTCCGCGGTCGGGTGAGTGAGTGAGCAGCTTTGCTTCTCCATCCATCTCCCCATTCTTCCCTCCCTCCCCCCCGGCCCGGCGGCGGTACGAGACCTGACCCCGCAGCGCTAGCTCGTCGGAACGGAAGGTGTCGGCGCGCGACCTGAGAGCACAGCACCGGGGTCAGGCAGAAAAGATGGCTGGAGCAGCGGTGGCGGCGGTCGACGTGCCGGCGGCGGCGGCCAACGGAGGGGCGTGCTGCCACGCCGCCAAGGGGCCCGGGTACGCCACGCCGCTGGAGGCCATGGAGAAGGGGCCCAGGGAGAAGCTCGTCTACGTCACCTGCGTCTACAACGGTTTGTGATTTCTGCTTCTATCATGCGTATAGGACTGTACCCAGGGGGATATACACATGGGACATACGCGTACACCTTGGAGGATTAGTCAGGAGTATTCGCAAAGTTTATTTAGTATACAGGACAGGTGGGTGTTGTTACTAGCATGGAAAGGGACCCTTTTATTTATGTAAGGGTAATTTAGCTGACAAGAATTGTTCTAGCTGAGATCCCCGATTCTTTTGGAATTCGATTAAATAGGGTTTTCTTCATGTCCTTTGCAAATGATACTACCTGTTTTCATAGTTTAAGACCGCTTTGGTCTGTCAAAAAAATAGGACTATACTTGGGTTCAGTTAGTTTGCAAACTTAGCGGTTAGCGCGTATGGACACTACCTGCTCCAAAACGTTTTCTGTTTATGACAGGGGTTCACATGGTTTCTCCTTTGGGGACGCTTACAGATCACACAAAGTCACAAACCATGTGAACACTGCACAGATTAGATGTTTGCCTTGTTGGGAATTTTGTGTTCATGTGGTTACATATGATTTATGCAGGTACTGGAATTAACAAGCCGGATTACCTTGCGACGGTGGATTTGGATCCCAACTCTCCTACATACTCCCAGGTGATCCACAGGCTCCCGGTCACCCACACCGGCGATGAGCTGCATCACTCTGGCTGGAACTCCTGCAGCTCCTGCCACGGCGATCCATCAGCCAAGCGCCGCTTCCTGATCCTGCCTTCGTTGCTGTGAGTATTATCAAATAAATGGAGATGGTCAGATGAATGAATCAATTGACTGACTCGACTGCTGACCCCGACTGAGAATCTGTGGTGTGGTTTCGATGGTTATTTGCAGGTCAGGTCGTGTGTATGTCGTTGACACAGCGACAGACCCGAGGGCGCCATCCTTGCATAAGGTGGTTGAGTCTGAGGACATTGCTGAGAAGACTGGGCTTGGGTTTCCTCACACGTCTCATTGCCTTGCATCTGGCGACATTATGATTTCTTGCCTTGGGGACAAGGAGGGGAATGCAGCTGGCAATGGCTTCCTGCTGTTGGATTCAGAGTTTAATGTCAAAGGGCGGTAAGTTCTTCTCACAGTTTAGGCCCATTGATATTGATGTGTAGCATGTAACTATGGCCAATTACAGAGCATATAGCCTATTATCGTAGTACTACATCATGCTGTTATACAGTTTGCCACATTTACAGTAACATAAGATTAAGAACACACGATGACTTGTATAATGGGTGTAGTTCAAGTAATGTGCTCTGAAATAGCTGCAGATGTAAGGCAAATTGCTTGACATGTGAAAACCAGACAGATTCATTATGCTGATCTCTGTGTCTTGATTAATTATTAAGTCTTTGCACTTTGCTACATGCAGTTGGGAAAAGCCAGGTCATAGTCCATTGTTTGGATATGACTTCTGGTACCAGCCTCGCCACAAGACGATGATCAGTTCATCATGGGGAGCCCCTGCAGCGTTCAGGACAGGTTTCAATCTTCAGCATGTCCAGGATGGCCTGTACGGAAGGCACCTGCATGTGTACGACTGGCCTGGTGGTGAGCTCAAGCAGACACTTGATCTAGGTGACACTGGACTTCTTCCCCTTGAGGTAATAAATTATTGAAAATGTAGAAAACTGCTGCCAGAATAATTTTGCATTTGTCGATATTTGTTACTTTTGTGCTGTCTTTATTTCTCTGTAAATGCTACCAGAGTAGTATGGTGCTTCCAGAGCCTGTTGTAACACTTCTCTGTTTGTTTGTTTCACCTGCAGGTGAGGTTTTTACATGATCCATCAAAGGACACTGGCTATGTTGGCTGTGCTTTGACAAGCAACATGGTGAGATTTTTCAAGACCACGGATGGATCGTGGAGCCATGAGGTTTGTTCGTGCTACATGATAAGTTCTTTCCCACCTAATGAGCTTGATTTTCCAACTTGCTTATATTCCTATGACTGCGCTTGTAGGTTGCTCTCTCTGTGAAAACATTGAAGGTCCGCAACTGGATTCTGCCGGAAATGCCAGGATTGATAACTGATTTCGTTATCTCTCTTGACGACCGTTATCTCTACTTGGTAAATTGGCTTCATGGCGATATCAGGCAGTACAACATTGAGGATCCTGCAAAGCCTTTCTTGGCTGGACAAGTATGGGTTGGTGGTCTTCTTCAAAAGGGCAGTGATGTCGTCTATGTTACTGACGATGGTCAAGAAGAACAGTATAATGTGCCTCAAGTCAAGGTAATCTCCCCTCTTGAAACCTTCTGAAACGAGAAGATTTTTATAATTATTACAGTCCGGGTTTCAGTGGTGGTTATGGGTGGTTCACTGTGGAGTTACCAAATACCAAACTACACCACATCCATTTCTACAAACTTTTGCATTGTCACGCTAGAATACTGGCACACTTGGAATCCTAATTAACCACAACACTTCCAGAAATAGGCAAATAGCCAAGATGGAAATACAATGGAATTTTGATTACTCTGATTCACCATATGTTTCTTTATAATCAGGGTCATCGACTTAGAGGTGGACCACAGATGATTCAGTTGAGCTTGGATGGCAAGAGGATATTCGTGACCAACTCACTTTTCAGCCGTTGGGATGAGCAGTTCTTTGGTGATGATCTTGTCAAGAAGGGCTCCCACATGTTGCAGATCGACGTCGACACCGAGAAAGGAGGGCTGGCTATCAACCCCAACTTCTTTGTAGATTTTGGCACCGAGCCTGATGGTCCTGCCCTGGCCCATGAGATGAGATATCCTGGTGGGGACTGCACCTCTGATATATGGATCTGAGGTCAAGGATTTGGCATAACAGGCTGATGGAGATCCCCGCTGTTGTATGCACTGTAATTAACATGGTATCCGTGCAGTGTTTAATCTTGTATCGTGACTGTTGCCAGTGGAATAAGGCATGGTTTCATGAGAACTTTAGATTAATAAAAAAAGTATCGATTCTAAATTTTCTGATTGTCGTCGGCTCTGCCGTCTTTGCTATTGTGTATTGTGAGATTTCTGGTACAGCAGGCGCTCTCGTTCTATCAGGAGTGGGTTGCAGCACCAGGACTAGGAGTATTTTTTATCACTATGCACGATTTGGCGATGATAGGACAAGCTCCTCAACCTCCTCAAGCTTGCAGTGGTGTACTGTGCGCTAACACTAAACGCAAATGCATGTGGCTCAAACGTAACACAGGGCCAGATAAAGGTCATATTCTGCAGCTGATTAAGTCCCATGTATAACTCTAAACGCAGAGCATTTCATACTGACCATCTCAAGGTTTAGTGTTGAGGTGCGGGGAGGTCACTTGGCGTTGTTCAGTTAGTCTCCGGTATAAAATTTATCTCAATCTCCTCTAATACCCACCCCCACCAAACCTAAGAATCCGCAATACTAATCCTTGCTAAGCCAGGCAAATTTTAACTCTTTATAATCCTCTTAAACACCGTTCAAAACTGATCACAATGGAAGACTACTCGGCCACGCGCAAGAGGGAAATTTGCCTACCATCAACAAAGTAGTAGTAAAGGCCCAGATAAGACATTTACAAAGAGACGCCCGAAGAACGCAAATCAATACAGTGCAAAACCAACGAAAGAAAATTATATATTCCGTTTTGGTTGGGGTGCGCCAGGCTCGAGCAGTAGTGCAACGCCCGAGCGACACGCGAGGACCCCAGTAGCAAGCTACTGTGGTGGGCCCTCCCCACAAAAAAAATAAATTTAATATCGAAGTGGGCACATGGCCCACATATCAGATATTAAACTGATAAGAACAGATACTACACTTGATCTTAGCCAAAAGGCCGAGAAAGGTATGAGTTGCTCGGCTGCCCAGGGGTCTCCTCTTATAGCGTTCCTCTGGCTTCGCTCGTCCAAAGCGTCCGAGGTGGGACTAAAAGAGTTGCGCTCGGCGCAAGCACGGCGTGCGTTCTTTAGTACCAGGCGTCGGTGCTACCCAGGCAGCGGTGGAAATGGGCTCGCTAAGGCCCATCAATAGCTAGCCCACCAAAGAAGAGAATCCCTCAGGTGTGGAATTCGCTCCGTCTCCCTCCGTCCTACCTACCACTTGGCTTCGTCAGAGTTTGAAGCGGCCATGCTGAGCCATGCGGCCTCCGCGTCCCGCCGACGCTCCTCTCCCGCCTCCGCGCGTGCAGGTCCGCCTCCCACGCGCTCCAGTGCCACGCCCTCCTCCTCACCTCGGGCCACCTCGCCGCCTCCCCGCTGCGCCTCTCCAACCTCCTCCTCCTCGCCCTCGCGTCCGTCCCCGGCGCCGCCGCGCTTGCGGACGCCGTCTTCGCGCGCCTCCCGGAGCCCGCAACTTAATTGCATTCGCCGGTCAGTAGACATGGAATCCAGTCCTCTTGCATCATCGACTCTGAATGAACTCTGCGTCATGTCACGCTGCAACTTTTGATCAGCTTAACTCTGAAACCAACATTTGAACATAGCACCTGACTTCATCAATAGCTAGCCCACCAACTTCAGTTAGGACTACAGGCTTGCAGCCAAGCACAGAAGCTAGACTGCTAGAGCTACGTGCATCAAGAACAACTCTGAACTCTCTGTGGATCTTTTGTTCATTAGAGCAACACTACTAGTTGTTCTTACAACTGCATGCTGATTGCTGATAGGAATCCGTCCCTGAATGTCTGAATGCTCTCTGAAAATAGTAGATTTCGCACATTTGGATGGCAGCATATCAGCAAGCACATCGGGCTCTGTCTCTGCTGTGCAAGCATGGTGCAAGCAGTCTAGCTTCAGCACGCCAGTGGTTTGCAAATCGCAACTTTGCATTCGCGAATTGCACATTTGTGCAAGCATGGTGCATTTCGGTGCTTGCCAATGCCAATAACGTGAGCTAGTGGACTGGGCTTAAATGGCTTGCGGGGTAGAGACGAGCCCACGAACAGAATAAGCCCAAGAGGCCAGATTTATTGGCTACAAGGCCATGCTACATGAAGGCTCCATGGGTCCCACTGGTGTAACTGGGCCCGCCGCAGCAACAAAGCGCTACGCAAACACGACTTAGCAACCACAAGATGAACTCCATTATTTGCTCCAAAAAAAAAAATGAACTCCATTCTCTCTCTGAAAAAAGGATGAACTCCAATGTCGGTAATTTTACTTGAATGAAATATCTTAAGTCGGCAGGAAAATATCTCTCTGTGGAAGACTCGAAAATACTAGGACCGATTTTTCTATTTTCATTATTTTGCTTGATGGTAGGTAGCAATTTATAATTCGCTTTAATTTTACCCTATATAAGAATGTTAACGTAAACCGTCTCTTATGTAGCCCAATGTAAAATGCATCATTATAAGCTATTGTGTGTTCTTTAAGGCTAAAGTCATGAATTTACCAACGGATGATTCCACGATTCTATGACTGATGCTAGATCCAATATGGTAGAGTTTTCTAAATTGTCCATAGCATGGTAAAAAACTGAATTTTCTTAAACAACTTTAGTGTTTCTTTGCAACATAAAAATAGTGTAGAGTTCGATTTTACTTCTTGTTCAACTAGAACCCATTAATTTCCCAACGACCTTCACAGTTATGGATGGTCTATTTGAATTAAGAAAATATTTTTCTCAATTATGTACTTATGTTTCTTCTTTTTAACTACTTACTTACAGTTTTTTTATAATAAGTAAATAGCACTATAGAGTTAGGTTTTACTTGTTCAAGTTAAACCCATTAATTTACCAACAACCTTCAAAATATGCAAGGACTATTTAAGTTAAGAAAATATTTTCTCAATTATCTTCTTTTATTTGAGAATAAGTTTAACAAAAAACATAACATCAACGGAGTGAGGTCAACCGTTGTAACTGATATATCAAAATGGGATATCAATCTCTTTTCTATATGGCAATTTGCCGTTAGTTTATGTGTATCTAGCCAGGGGATTTTTTTCGTGGCGCCTCCAAAGGGCGAGATATTTTGTGCCGAGCTGGCAGGCATATCGCTATATATGGCCATGCAGCCCGAGCCCGTCGGCCCGTCCCAAGGCCCTTTTTTGGCCCGACCCAAGCACGGCCCGGCCCGGCGGCGAGCGGGCCCAGGCTGGCACGGCCCATAGGAGCAGGCCGTGCTTGGGCCTTACGCCAGGCACGTGGGCCGGCACGGCACGACCCGCTCCTCAATGGCAGGCCCGCTGGCTGCCCGACCTGCCACCGTCCCACTCGAGTATATAAGCGGGGAGCGTCGGCTGAGCCGCTCGCCCGCTCTCAACCCCAACCCTAATCCCCACTCAATCTCTCTCGCTCGTCGCGGCGCAATCTCTGCTCTCTCGCCCGCATCGGGCGCATCCACGATCTGGCGAATCTGAGCTCTCTCTTGTCCGTTATCCCAACTCCGGTGATCTCGATCCGCCTGTCTGACCTTGTCTCCAGTCTCCTCCCTTCTCCCTCTCTCCTCTCGACCTCTTGCTCTCGGTGAACTATGTGAGTTCGTGACCGTGTTCCCGTCTGTCCCTCCTCCGCCGTTCGCAGTCGTTTCTAATCGGTGTCTCTCCTCTGGGTGGCCCTCGTCATCTCCGGCACCGGGCTCTAGTTGCGTAGGTAGTCCACGAACCCTAACCCTAACCCTAACCCTAACCCTAGATCTATCTTCTTATGTCTCTGAGACTGAGTGACTGACCCTGGATCTGGATCTCTATCTCTCTGATTTTCTCCTCTGCACAGGTCAGTTGCCGATGCCTCGTCCTCTTCTTGTGGCATAGACCGGGCATGGTGGCCGCGCGCACCGTTGAGGAACGATGCTGGAGATAAGCCGTCCGCGGTCAAGGTCGCCATGGTGGATGACGACGATGTCGTCTATCCACTCATCGGTAATGATGACCTAATCACGGTAGGGCTGGTCCCTAAGGACACCGACGACATCCGTGACGACGCTGCTACATTGTTGGGTATCGATGTTGGTAGCGGCTCTGCTCCGATCGATTTGGACGGCGGCGACGGTGGTGGAGGGGCGGCGACGGCGATAGGGACGCCGGTCGGCTCCAACAACATAGATAGTATCTCATCTGTTGGTAAGCGTAAATCTGGTGTCTGGGTTGATTTTGATGAGACCTATGAGACTGTGAATGGTTCACAGATTCAAACTGGTGCTATCTGTAAAATGTGTTAGAGTAAATTATATGCTAGATCTTCTGCTAGCACTGGCCATTTGATTAGGCACCAGAAATCTTGTAGGAAAAAGGCTGATCACGCTGCTAGGGTTCAGTCTAGGCTTTCTTTCAATCCTGATGGATCTATGCATAACCGGGACTACAATCCTGCTGTTGGTCGATCTGAGTTGTATCGATTGATTGCTAGGCTTGACCTTCCATTAGTTATAGGTGAGACACAGGCCTAGGATGATTACATTGTTCTTGCTCATAACCCTAGGATTGCCAAGGTTTCTAGATAGACCATCACTAGAGATCTTGGTAAGCTATTTACTGAACACCGTGATATGCTTAAGAATTTTGTGTTGCCTACTACTTCTTTTGTTGCTTTGACTTCAGACATTTGGTCTGGTAATGCTAAGGAGGAATATATTAGTGTTGTTGCTCACTATGTGAATGATGATTGGGAGTTACAGAAAAGGGTTATTGGTCTTAGACTGATTGAGGTTAAATATTCTGGTGAAAATATTGCTGAAAGAATTACTGCTGTGGTTGAGGAGTATTGTCTGATTGGCGAGATTTTCTCAGTCACTCTAGACAATGCTTCTTCTAATGCTAAGGCTATGAACACTTTGACACCTCTATTTGCTGGTTACTTGGCAAGTACTTCGCAAGACAATGAT